GAGCGTAATCGACTTGGACGGGCGAGGGGAAAGCGGGGACAATCGGGAAACAGAAAGAGGACCCCGGAACGGAAAACTAAATTAAGGAGCGAAGGCCGCAACCTGCCCGGATCGAGCGCAGATCAGCGGCGGGGATGACTCCAACAGCAGGTGTCGGGCCCGGATCATGAGTTGACAAAACTCAAAAAGTCGAGAAAATATTCCTTCGTTGCGGTGTCGAACTGAAACCTTAGGTAGTGAAAGGGATGGGGTGGGTGGGTAAATGGGTGATGAGGGATGTTAGGTGCCTGCCCTATGACGAGGAACAAGCCAGATTGTGATCAGCTGTGCATGTGAGGCACTATACCCGGGTTCACCTTTTGGAGGCAGGGAAGGGGCAAGGACGGATCCAGAACACAATTTTTTTGGGGGGGGGCCAAAAAAAATTTTGGTCCCCCCCTGAAAAAGTGGGTCCAAAAAATTACGGCGTGGGGTTCGGGGCCAACTTAAGGGCCCCGAAAAATTTGTGGATTCTAAATGCTCTGTGGTGCGATCTGAGGCAATTTCTGACCACTTTAACCAATGTTTTTTTGAGGAAAAGATGGTGGTGTACTCATTGCCTGCCTTTATTGCGATGTCACATAAAAAAAAATTGGTTTCGTTTTTTTTTTGGGGGGGGGGCATGGCCCCCTTTGCCCCCCCCCCCCCCTGGATCCGCCCTTGGGAGGGGGGCCACGTGACGGACCTCATGTTTAACAAAAGGAACTCAGTAGGTTTGGTCAAAGTGTTTTCCTCTTATTCTGAGCGGGAGGGGCACACGGGGGACCAACAGACGCGAGAAAAAGGGGCGTGCCTCGTTCCGCATAAGCTACGCAACTATACCGTCGGAATTGTCACGAATTACAAGGGGGTGGCAGGTGGCGCTGACGGGTAAGCTTCGTGAACTTTTAGAGTATGACCTGTATAAGGGCAGATTATTCTCGGAAGCTTCGCACGAATGTTGAAGAACGTCCGTCAACCCAAGACCAGCGGCGCAACAGCAGGAAGGGATCGGGAGATGAGACCCCTCCCCTCCAAGACCAAAAATACATGAGTATGGGGAAAAAAGAAAACAAAAAGAAAACGTAAAGTGAATGTTATTATCTGAATTGAGTTTAAATTGCACAAAAGAAACTGCCAGAAAAGGAGCTTAAATAATGAACAGCGTCCTAGCGCCCCTCCCCTGCTTTTCGACTTTTCCGCAGCCGGTCAAAAATATATTGGTGAGCCCTCCCTAAATAAAGTCAAATCTCATAATAATAAAGATAAATCTCATCAGTGAATTGATCATTGTTTTAGCAATACCATAGGGAGCGAGGTTCGGGTGGGTGTTTCCTCATTTAGTTTTTAAGCCCTTGTTTGAAATCGATCGTTTGGTCCTTATGTCTTATTGTACAGCCAGAGATTTCACACAAGCAAATTACTGGAGTATTTAAGTTTACCTGGTAAAAATCTGTTTTAGAGCGTGCACAGGCAAAACTTTCTTCCGGGTTCCCGGTTGAACTTTGGTCAATAAATATTTATTAGCTTGTTGGTAAGCATGTACATTTTAAAGCCTCTCTATTGAAAGCGACTCTGTCGATCGTGGTATAAGCAAGAATCTGACGCTAGAACCCCGCTCAGGGGCGTGCAGACGCGGAGACACTTCTCGAGAGTTTTAGGGTTTTCCCGAGTTTACCCAACAAAACTATTATACCCTTCCCCGACCACAAGCTTTGCCCGCGATGAGCTCGTTTGCAACGGCAGGAAATTGGCCCTGACATGCCCATGATTTAATTTAGTCCCCGGTCGTGCTGAAGAAATCACGCATAGACGAGTCACGAGTGACTTGAACAGGGGCGACCGATGACTAGCACATGACGCGTGTGCGGGTGACGTGTCACCACCAAAAACAGGGTACACGAAAGTTTAGGGATGAGGGGCACTTCAAAAAGCCCCCCAAAAGGTAGTCATTGAAACCGACCCCCGTGTGGTTGAACAGTATGTGATTGAGTGAAGGACGATGTGAGAGTGTTGACACTCTCGTTTTCTTTAAGGGCGCCCTCTGTTGAGGACACATTTCCATAATCGGGGGAAAGTAAAACACGAGGGGAAATCATAATAAGAGTTTATGAATGGGAACGTTTGCTAATAGTTGGTTATATTCAGGAAAGTAATAATTACAAAGGATCAAAGCCACTGAAAAGGAGAACGGAAAGATGACGTACACTGTATGTCTTAAAGTTGCACACAAAACAACCTCCAAAGCACTACAGATGTGTGTAGAAACCATAATATAAGGGAAGTATTTTAATTGTTTTGATTATTTGGTCGCTAGCTTTTACCCTTTTAATGGGTGTCTCTCGTGGAGCTGGTTTGGTATGTAATGCAGTCGGAGGCATTAGCCTTGTATAAGAACCCACTGTAAGACTAAATGTTTCAAAGGTGCTGTCCTCATAAAAAAAAAGGGATCGTGGGCAAGTGGTATCCTGTCAGTGGCGGCTACAAGTGTAAAATGTGTTAGGTTGCGAACAGGGCGAGGTGAGCTATCTGAAAACCGCTTCAAAAAGATGCCGTGTGCTGCCACCAAGAGTTCAAAAGATGCAATGTTTGGATTTGTCTTTCTTTGTTGTCCAAACCTCGATTTGGCGTTGAGCCCTGTGATAGGCCTACATCGTCTTCAAATAGAGAGAAAACTTAATGCCGAATGAATCTTTCAGGTCTTCAGCCTATCATTGGGCCGGGCATCTCACCTGTGTTTCGGGGGAGGGGGCGCGGGGAGGGGGGATTGCCCCTTACTGGATAATCATGTCTACGGACAAAGACAAACGTTCCATGCATATAGCGGACTACGTAATTTATGCCAACACGGTCATCCACTCAGATAGGAGTTCAGGGGTACTTGCATTGTTCTCCCTTTAACTCTTTTCTTAAGAATTTCACTTCTGGGGTACCGTTTTTCTAAGGGTGAGTAGTGGGGTAGCATTGTTCCCTAAATTTCCCTTCGTATGAGTATTCTACAAGTAGCTGTGGTAAGTACGGCCCCAAAGTGTCCATTTGATTTCCAGACGCCTGCTTTTCCAAAAATTTCCTGGCCGGAAAATTGTTTTTGTGACCGCCACATTTTTCAGAAACACAGAGATCAATAAAGTATCACTAACGGGGAACAACAAACACTTTGAACTTTAATTTATACAAGAAATAATTTTCGATGAGGTACATGTACATTCATATCATGTGATCATTGAATAGGCTTAAAGAACCAAAGAAATATATTTACAAAGAGAATTGCAGAGATTTGTACGATGTATATCCATACGATATTACGGTCATGGAGTAGTCAACTGAAAAAAAAAATCAAATCTTAATTTAATCCTTCAAGAAATTTTGAAGTTAGCTGTTATCTTTTCAGTTGTGCGAAAAAAAATTCCAATCCTTCATGGAGACTTTTGAACACTTTTTTTTGGTTCAAAATGGAAATGTGCCTTTCTAAAAGTTGCCCATCCGGTATTTGTGATTGACGTTTCTCTTCATTGAGATTCTCTTCATCGCCGTCTTTTACCTAATAAAATAATTGGTGCCGACATCAGCTCAAGTGAAGAACATGATCAAGAAACTTCATTTTGTTTTCCTTTAAGGCGTGTAACACCCGGAGAGTGGTCATGTGACTGGGTCAGGTGATGAGGTATAGCCCGAGGCAGGGCAGAGACTCAGACAAAGTTTGAAAACAGAAGGCACGATGGGTCCATCAGCTAATTATCCCCCCATCCCTTGGTTATCATCAACATTTCCCATAACAATATCCAACACAGTAACGCCTAACACCTGCCAAATGTGTCAATTCATCCAAATAATAATTATCACGATATTTATAGACTTATAAAGTTGAACAAAGAAGTTGACTGGAGCAGGTTTCGAACCTGCGACCTCTGGATTACCATACCATGTTGGTAGAGCGCCAACACGGTAACACAGAGGTTGCACAATCAAATTCCACTCTTACTGTAGTCTATTTCTTTGTCCAACTTTACAATTATTCTGCCTGCAACTAGTCAGTTTCCCTTTGTGGTTTATTCGAAGATGATAAATTGTTAATAAATAGTCATATGTACAGTTGTACACAGTTACTCGTCCTTCTCGTTCATTTAGACCAAGGCACGCGCAATACCTCCAACAGAAATATACCTCGATTATTCTCACCCGATTGATCTCAGTTGTAACTCGAATCTTAAACCTTGAACCAATCCTAACTTTTGTCAGCACCGCAAAATCACCGCTGCCGAAATGAATTAGAAGAGGGATTTCCTCTGGGGAAATTGCCAACAAACCTAACTTGACATCCATGTATCTCGTTACGAGCTTGGGAAAAAAAATCATATTCTTATTTCCAGTTCCAAACATGTAAGTCCGGTACATGTGCAAGCAAACCCTCCACCATTAGCCTATAGGTCCTATTTGAGATATGGCAGACACAACATAGGAGGGCGCTATTTGGCTTGGGTAAATACGAAAGACTTTACCCAAATCAAACAGCGTCCTGTTATTGTGTCTGCCATTATCTCTAATGGGATAATAGACATCTAATAGATGAGTTACAAACATTTCAAGAGCGCCCTCCGTGAAAGCTCCTTCCCGATAGACGTCCAGTTCTTGCTTCTCCTCGTACACGACGTATCCAGTACAACGAACGAACTTACTATATATAGGATGCAGACCAGTAAATCGGCTCTCATATAGACCTCATGTTATAATATAGCGCGCACTAACAAAACATATTTAAAACACTCACAAAACTCTCCAAGGTGTTTGAAATACCCATGAAATTAAAGCTTATTTCATCATCTTTTATTTTCTGTTCAATTTTCGGTGGTAATCCGATGACTTTTGGGAGAAAATTCCATCCAAAGATGATGACCTCTAAAAGTAGTCCTGTGGCTCATCGCCATTTTGAAACATGATGCCTGCGCTCCATTGTAAAATAGAGCAATTGTAGGGCCCAATTTCATTCGAATTTCACAAGAATGAGCTCGCAGTCCTGTACACGGCTTCCACCCAGCTTTCTTTTTTACAAAACTTCAAGTTCAGGGCCCACAAAACACTGTAGGCCTAATAGCAAAAGCAATTGAAGGCATATAAATCGTGATTCCGCTCGCGTAGACAATTTTGGGTTTATTTACTGGTCTGCACCCTTACGACGCTGGTGGTACACAGTACTGTGTGACAGCGCCTTGTCTTGACGAGTACGGTCAAAACCGCGTTCTAATTGGTTAAGCAAATCTTTGACGTCACTGCATAAGGCCAATCAGCACTGGTCATCAAATTTTCCATCATTTTCGTTTCCATTCACGAGATTTTGCGAATGCCTATCAGTCTGTGGGAAAGGCTACATGTATGAAATCCTGACTCTGGTGCGATGAAGAATGGAGTCAAAATTGATCAAAGCAATACACTCCCCAGCACAAATTAGCAAATACGTAGTCTCAATTATTGTCTCAATTTCCGGCGACGTAGAAGATCTTGAAAAGTGCTGAATAGTTATTGTCAGTCATGGCGATTCCAGCTCGGCGTCTGACGTGGATTCCCGGTCTCTCTCGTTGGGGGCGGTAGACAGCGAGTACTTGGGCCCGTAGTTGGTAGGGGTGATGCTCTCCACAATGAGCGACAGATGGTCCAAGCTTGAGACTCGGCCGTCTGAATCTAAAATAAGAGAGGACATGAAAGAAGCTGTCAATTCACGGGGAAAACTAGAGAATTTGAGAATGTGATAAGTGGGGGGGGGGGGGGCTGGTCACGTGGCGAGGGATTTTAAGAACATGGAATCTAGTCAACAAGCTGTATTTCAACTAGTTTTAAAGGCATATGATCATTTGTATTTATCCCATAACCGAATTATTATCAAAAAGCGTACTTCGATTAAAGATCGTATATACTAAACACCTCGTGAAATTAAACCATCCGACTAGCTGTCATTTGGAAGAAATCAAGAAATGGTAGGTGATTTCCAACGATAAAACTGATTTTGGGAAATATAAACTTAAGTGCTATCGACGAAACCGTGTTTCGTGAACAAAAGGTTGTGCATGTAATTTTTTCATTGTTTTCTCGAAAAGTGTAACATCCACGGGTTAGTTCGAAACAGGTTAGGTTTGGAACATTTTTCTTTGGAGTTTGAGTGGTGTTATCATTGGAAACGAACAATGATGCATCAAAAGTAAATGATCATAATGCCTTTTGAACAAGATAATGTCTAACAAGCTTGAACTAAACAGATTGGTTGAATGTATAACCAATATTGGTTAATAATGCGTCCAACCAAACCGGTATTTGGTTGTTTGAACTAAATATTGGTTATTTCGACCAATCTTCAACCTATCCGTTTTAGAGTGTAGTGTTCAGTCCTTTGTCACAATTGTTATGCGTTTCCGACTTGTCATCGTCATGTTGTCGTTTTCCTGGTCACCTGTATGCATTCTCGTAAAATTCTTCAGTATAGTGTCATCGTAATCATTATTAATTAACGTCAGTTAGTGGCATTGTTATTCATCTTGTCATCATCGTCAGTGTCACCGTCTGACTATACGGCCTTTTTTCATTGAATGTCGTCGTCGCCTTTAATTAACTGTTCAAGATAACACAACTATAGATCTGAAGAACAATGACATCTCCGGCCCAGCTTTGCAAACACAGCAAAAAGAACATTGCAATGGGCCCGACCTGTCAAAATCATCTTCCATCTGTAAACACGGGCGCCGGGAACCCACACACGCGAGAAACAATTTACACTTTTTTTACGCAATTACTTTGCCAGATTAAAAGTACTTTAACTTTTCTGCCAGCTCCGGCCCGTTTGCGACAATCTGGCAAATCCATCGGCTCGTAGCGAATAGCAAACAAACAGGATAGTGCCGTGGGCGATTCGTGCCAGCGCCTTTCTGCGGGGCTCTGGCCGCGAGACGACCCGGGCGTGTTTGCACGGGCAGGCGGGGGTCAAACTCGGTTAGATTCGTCGGCGGATCGATTCAGAGTCTGCTGGTAGCGTACTAGTGCGTGGTTAGTTCGGGTTTTTTTTTAAATCAGTTTCATTATGTCTTGCGATATACATTCAATCAAACACACAGAAGAAAATGACTGAGATTTTCCAACAACTAGGGTAAGCCGACTGTTCCTTCAAAATGGGAGTGTTAAAAGGCTTTATATCAAAAATAGAATGCTTTCAGGAAACACAACTTCATCGAAATGTTCGAAGATCAACGTTATAATGATCAACATGTCATCTTTCATTTTCTTTTCAATTTTTGGTAGGTTGACCATTGCATTTTTTTTTATAGATATTCTCACCCAAAAGAAGAACACCCCTAAACGAATAATGTTTCCAAAAGTGGAAAAGTATAGCCATTTAGAAAATATGTTTCTACACACGTAAGCACGCCTGGCATACATAAACATATTTTGAAAAGTTTATTTTCAAAACGCGATTTATTTTAATAGGGCCTATCCATTTGAAAAAAAAGTGAACCTTTTGCACGGTTATGAAAATTTAAAGAATAAAAACAGTATAACAACCGTTTCTAAACATCATTTGTCACTTTATTGTGTACTTAAGTCGTATCTTAGAACATAACAGCTGTCGAAATTGCTTTTAGGAAACTACGAGAAAGCAGGATTCTAAAAGGGAACAAAATGGAGTATGTCGCGTTTTCGAAATAAACTCTTCATTTTCTATCCAACCAGACTTATTGAAAGGAGCTAATGTAAATTTTCGATTGAACAACCAAAACACAAATAAGTAACTCCCCCATTTTCTAAAGACAGGGGTACAGATAAAAAGTCATGGTGTTTACAATATCTTCCAACTTTTTTTTTAGAATGGGAGAGAGGGCGCTAACACAAAACGACACGAGGGAATTCGGTTCTGTTGTGCTATCCACATCAACCGCATGACACAGATTCCCAAGAAATGTTGCTGCCGAGAAAATAAATGCGGCGTCTCTCAACATCGGAACGGGTCAAAAAAGTCACGTGGCCCGTAGAAAGTACCCCTCGGGGTGCGGTAACACATCCTTTAAATGCCAGTTCGTTGGTTATTTTTAAAAAAAAGTTGATAAGCGTTAATACCTTCATGTGATACCAAAGTTAAAGAAAGAATTTGTTGCTATTGACTTGAAAAGGACTGAGAAAGAAAATAAACGGTAATATAAAAAGAAATTAGGTTAAAAACATAACTGTCTATAGCAAAAACTCGTCAAACTGATGTAATTGAAAAATACGACGCACACATCAATAACATATCTTTTAAAACATTTTTACAAAAAAACTGTTCGGGGACAGCTGAAATCGTTGATTTGAAAATAACTTCTTGAATATTCACCCCCAGTGATTTCGTAATTAATTTAATATGGGCCAACATTAACAGTAAAACATTCAATACTGGTTTCTAATATTACCATTCTGGGTGTATAATTATTACAATGAATAATATTTTAGAAAATGTTACACAATTTTGTTATGGCATCCAATCTATTGCAAAGTTGATTCATTTAACATTCTCAGGGAAAAAACTTATGAGTAAGCGGCGAGGACCATTACGTCTTGTTCTTTCCGAAACATCGTTCTTCACATCACTCGCTAGGTAGATAATTACAGCATGGTAGACCGCATGTATCACCAGAGGTGTTGTTAGAAAGGGGAAAAAAGTTGGGAAAAAAGTTTAAGAAAAAAAGACGGAGGTGCAAAAACATCGGAAAAGTCATTTCCGCTGGGACCGTGCCGGCCTAATCCTAGCCCGCGGTGAAACGGGCGGAAACTACCGGGCCCAGTAAGCCCACTCCTAACTGGGCGGTCAGTCAAGAAATCCCCGCCGCTCGATCTCCCACGACATGCGGGGCACGTTCTATGTTTGGATGGTGTTAAATAGGTCATCAACCTACAAAAGTGGGGATAGAGGGGGAAAATGCATAAAGACCTTTATTTTGCATATAAGCGGTTGACACTGAGATAAAAGTTCCGAAGATATAGAAGGAAAGTACAGGGTGTGTGTGTGTGTGTTATTTTTTTATTTTTTTATTTTTTTTATTTTAGAGCTGTCGCTTTAAAGGGTGTAGCCTATACACTTGGTTTTACGATCTTCCTTGATTTAAATTGTATGATCTTTCAGGAAACAAATGGAATGGACATTTCGAACAAAATAATGTTATATCGCCTCGTAACAAAACCAGATCCGGTTTAGAGCCATGACTTTTTTGATACCATAGGTACGGCATTTTCTGAAAATGCATGTGGTTAAAACCAATAAAATTATGTAAAAGTAAATTATTTCAAGGCTATATTTGATGCACCAACATACATAATGTCAAAGAGTACAATATTGCCCTCTGACCAATTATAGGGAAAACCGTTTCTGAATTTTTGTTAATTTACGCAAGGACGTACGCGAAACAACAAAAAAACACCCAAAAAACCTTCTAATTTCACCCTGCCACGGTCACGGCTCGGGACAACGCACTTTGGGGAAATGTTTACTATCGATCGTATAAAATGCATCGTCTCTCAACAACAGCCTCAATAGCGTGCGAGACGGAAGCCATAAAAAAATCTCGACCAGTTTAACTTGGCCGTTCCCGTTCCATGAGGAAATACCACAGATCGAAAAACATCTTCATCATTTGAGAAGAAAGCATAATAGATTATTCTTTAATGATTTGTCTTGGGAACTCTGGTGTCTTGAGCTTTCATGTTTTGAGATTTGTATCGGTGATAAGGCAAGACATTTTAGTATAAGAACCATGTTTGGCAGCAACAACGAAAAGAATTGGACTTCCCGACATTTTTTGATGTGTAATTGTTTTGGGGGGAGGGGGGTTCAGATTTTGTCATATGGCTGGGAAGTTTCGTTCGGGACTTTTGGTCTGTTTTGGTACGTCTTGTGAACAAGCGTTTATTAGCGATTACTCATTTTCTAAATGTGATGAGAAGACTTATCTTTGGGTTGGTGATGGTGATCGACCTGCTAGGCTTGGGGGTTTCTGCTGAGGAGCGACAGGTCAAAATTATTAATTGACGTCAGGTTTTAAAGAAAAACAAACCTATGGGCATCCACTACTCACTAACTCTGTTCTCTTCGGAAAAAGAATGAACGGCCTAAGTGATTGCAAGCGTTGCCAGTGTATGCTGGCAGGGTGTCTATAGATAAAACACAGTCTCGCATCACGCAAACGACTTCTAAATGTTAAATCTGCCATGGTGCAGGTATCTTTGGTTTTACCTTAATTTTACCGTTTCATACATCCAGCACCAAGCTTTATGGAATTATGTCTTTGCCTTCAAGCCAATAGGTTCCACAAACTGAAGAAGCCTACGTTGGCTAACTTTTACCCGTTGTGGAATAGGAAGAGCCTATAAATGACGGGCGATACACACGGTCTCGATATTATGATGATGTGACTGGAGGGGGATGCCGTGCCGAGTCCCGAGGGGGCCATCCCAGGTAGATGATGAGCCTCTCACATGCAGACAGTGTGAGCTTCAACCGATCAAAGCCAATTGGAAGACGACATTGCGTCAAAGCCAGACGTATATACTGATACTCGAGATGTAGGGTGACAGAGACTGGAGCAGGGGGTCATGCAAAGCAAATACGACCATTCAATGTAAACAGGATTAATAACTTCATCAAGAGAGGGCGCTGTGGCAACATCACG